CAAAAAAGTGAGTCACGATTTTTTAATTATTTTTTTTAAATTGCCACACCTTTTGTTGTTTGTTGTTTGTTGTTGTTTGTTGTTTGTTATTTGTTGTTGTTGTTGTTTTTAAGTATTATTATAAAAAAATAATTTTTGATTTTTCCAGTTGTCCGGATGTGGAATTATAGGAGTTGGAATTTGGCTTAGGTTAGCATATTCTGATTACACGACTCTACTTCCGCAATATGATTTTTTCAACGTTGATAGTTTGGCTGTTGCTGTCGGTCTCGTCATGTTTTCAATTGCATTTTTCGGATGCTGCGGAAGTTGGTTCGAAAGCAGATGCATGCTCATAACGGTATGAATATTTTTTTTTTCCGTTTATCCGTTTCCGTTTGTCGTTTAAATAAAACAAAAATGTCGGATTGTTTTTTCCACAGTATTTTTCAATGGTCATATTTATGTTCATGTTGGAATTCACGTGTGCGACTCTGGCATTTAGCTTTCGAGAGAATTTAAGTTACACTTTTCGAGAAGAATTAAAATACGGTATAGAAATGCATTATTCAGCATCCGAAGATAACGGTTTGCACATACTATGGGATAAATTACACAAAGAATTTTCCTGTTGTGGCGTCACAGACTACGAAGATTGGTAAATGATGACGTTTAATGATTAATACCCACAATAAGATCGAATGAGACAAAATTTTATTATTTCAGGTACGATATTCAAGCTTGGAAGGGTAAAAATCAAGTTCCAGATTCCTGTTGTCTTAAACAATATGAAAACACGACGGATTGTGGTATGTCGGGTAATCCTGATATGTGGTATCCGAATGGTTGTTCGGAAAAGGTTCACATGTGGTTTGTCGAAAGGTTACACATAATCGGTGCTATAGGACTCGTTATCACATTTATCCAGGTGAATGATAAAATGATTCCTGAACGCACACACAAAAAAATTATATATATATAAATCTTACGTCACTAATGAACGGAAGTAGATAGAAAAAAAATAAAATTGATCGGATGTGATAACAGAATCAATGTTACCAACTTAAAAAAAAAAAATTTATTTAATGGATCGTAAAAAAAAAATTTGTTTTTACCGTTAAAAAAAAACGACTAGTCAATTAACTTAATGAGTTTTTTTTTTTTTTTTTTTTTTTAAATACGAAGATGTAAAAATAATAATGATGATGATGATGATGATGATGATGATAATAATAATAATGATAATAATAATAATTACGTATATCGGCAAAAAAACCCCGAATCATAATTTTTTTTAATTACATATTAAATTTAACCGTTAGCTTTTTTTTTGTAACGTTTTTCTTTTATTTAATTATTTAATTAATTAATTAATTAGTTTATTTATTTATTTATTTCAGTTATTTGGTCTTTTGTCATCCATGTTGTTATTTTGCACGGTGAGACATAAAAGAACGTCATCAACGTACAAATCGTATAATCCGGCATCTTGAATTTGTTTT